AGCCTGGGGGTGCGGAGCCTGGGGGTGCGGAGCCTGGGGTTGCGGAGTCTGGGGGTGCTGAGCCTGGGGGTGCTGAGCCTGGGGGTGCGGAGCCTGCGGGTGCTGAGTCTGGGGGTGCTGAGTCTGGAGGTACTGAGCCTGGGAGTGCTACACCTGGAGGAGCTCTCTCCTCACAGCAGCTGCGTGAGTGGTACTTACAGTACTGCAGCCTCAGGAGAGGTGCTTCTGGAGCCAGGAGTACTGCTGGAGCTGGTGCTAGTGCTTCCCCTCCTAGGCGGGAGCTGCCCTCTCCCCAGCGGCTCCGAGAGTGGTACGCACGGCGCTGCAGTCTTCGGAGTGGCGCTCCTAGTGTCGCGGACCCAGCTGCTGGAGGTTCTGCTGCTGGCGGTGCTTCTGGCGCTGCTGGAGGTACTGCTGGTGCTGGAGCTGCTGGTGCTGCTGACGCTGCTGGAGGTGCTGCTGGTGCTGGTGGTACTGCTGGTGCTGCTGGAGCTGCTGGAGGTGCTGCTGGTGCTTGGGCTGCTGGAGTTGCTGGAGGTGCTGCTTCTTCTGGAGGTGCTGCTGGTGCTGCGGACCCTGGAGTTGGAGCTGCTGCTGGTGCTGAGGACCCGGGCGTTGGAGCTGCTGGTGGTGCTGCGGACCCGGGCGTTGGAGTTGCTGCTGGTGCTGCGGACCCTGGAGTTGGAGCTGCTGCTGGTGCTGAGGACCCTGGAGGTGGAGCTGCTGCTGGTGCTGAGGACCCTGGCGCTGGTGTCTCTGCTGGTTCTGGAGACGCTGCGCGGCCGCGGCCGTACTTCGTTCCGCTCCTTCAGCAGGTTCTTGGTCAGCCTCCTCCTCCTTGTCCTCCTCCCTCCTTAGAGTGTCCTCCGTCTGTCCAGTCGCAGTCACAGTTACCGTCTGCCTCCCCTCTCCCTGGTCCTTCTCCTTACACTGGTCCGACTGGAGGTCTTACGGAGCGTCGTGAGTCTGAGTCTCGTCCTGCATCGCCTGAGTCTCGTCGAGCGTCGCCTGTTCGTGCTGCTCACACTGGTCGTCCTGTCCCGCGTCAGCGTCCTCCTGCTGTCCTAGGCACTCACCAGATGGCGCTTCATCCTTCCACTGCTCCCCAGCGTGTCCCTCTCCCGTCTCCTCCTGCGTCCTCTCTTCCTGCTCTTGCTGACCCTGAGTCTGACTCCCTTCGTGCTGCCAGTCCTACTGTCACGCGTCTCCTGGCTACTGTTGTCACTGACCCTTCCTTTGAGTCCACTGCTGCGTCTGCCTTAGTTGCCGAGCTTGTCGACTTTGCTGCCACTTGTCGTCTAGACTACGCCGCTAGCCTAGTTGCTGAGTCTGAGTCTGTCTGTCCTCCGTCCGTCGGGGGTGAGTGTGCTCTTGGCACGGACGTCCTTGAGGACAGGCAGGAGGAGTTTGAGTGCTTTGCCGCTGCTTTACCTCATCTCGTGTCCATGCTAGTTGCCCCTGAGGGAGACCCGGATGCACCAGACATCCCGACTCCGCGCTCTTACGCAGAGGCGATAGAGGGTCCCTACTCCTCTCAGTGGCAGACAGCCATGGACGCAGAGATGGCTTCCTGGAAGTCCACAGGCACCTACGTCGACGAGGTTCCCCCACCTGGGGCGAACATCGTCAGTGGCATGTGGATTTTCATGGTGAAGCGGCCGCCGGGTTCTCCGCCTGTCTTCAAGGCGCGTTACGTTGCACGAGGCTTCAGTCAGCGAGAGGGAGTTGACTTCTCCAGACCTTCTCCCCGACCCCGAAGATGACCACTCTTCGGGTTCTGCTGCACGTCGCCGCTCAGCGTGACTACGAGCTCCACTCTCTTGACTTCAGCACTGCTTTCCTACAGGGCAGCCTGCACGAGGAGATCTGGCTGCGCCGCCCACCTGGCTTCACTGGGTCGTTCCCTCCTGGTACCCAGTGGAGCCTCCGGCGGCCAGTCTACGGTCTCCGACAGGCGCCACGTGAGTGGCACGACACACTGAGGACTACACTTGCGGCTCTTGGGTTCGCTCCTTCTACTGCTGACCCGTCGCTGTTTCTACGCACCGACACCTCGCTGCCGCCGTTCTACATCCTCGTGTACGTCGACGACTTGGTCTTTGCCACTGCAGACACTGCGGCACTCGCCCACGTGAAGTCGGAGCTGCAGAAGAGACACACGTGCACAGACCTGGGTGAACTGACAAGCTATCTTGGCTTGCGGATCACCCGGGACAGAGCACGGCGCACCATCACCTTGACTCAGTCACACATGGTGCAGCAGGTCCTTCAGCGCTTCCGCTTCACGTACTCCTCGCCTCAGCCCACTCCTCTGCCTACCGGTTACTCGCTCTCAGCTCTGCCTTCGGATGAGTCCGTAGAGCCGAGTGGCCCGTATCCAGAGCTTGTGGGCTGCCTCATGTACCTGATGACCTGCACTCTACCTGACCTTGCATACCCTCTTAGCATCCTTGCACGCTATGTCGCTCCTGGCCGTCACCGGAAGAAGCACATGGATGCCGCTAAGAGGGTGTTGCGCTACTTGTGCAGTACGTCGGGCATGGGGCTAGTGCTTGGAGGACGAGACCGAGTTGTACTCACTGGGCACTCAGACGCGTCTTGGGCTGACGACCAGGCTACTCAGCGGTCGTCTCAGGGTTACACCTTCAGCCTTGGCTCTGGTTCAGTTTCTTAGCGTTCTACACGCTCGTCTTCTGTTCTCAGGTCCAGTTGTGAGGCTGAGATCTACGCCACAGCCATGGCTGCACAGGAGTTACGCTGGCTCACCTACCTGCTGACCGACTTGGGAGAGCGGCCTCGTTCTCCTCCAGTGCTGTACGTCGACAACAAGGCTGCCATTGCCTTGTGTGAGGAGCACAGACTGGAGCACAGAACGAAGCATATCGCTCTGCGCTACTTCCTTGCTCGAGAGCTGCAGCAGCGCGGTCAGCTTCGTCTGCGTTACGTGGCCACTCGGGCCAACACTGCTGATGTGTTCACCAAGGCGCTTCAGCCTTGTGACCATCAGCGCTTCTGTACTGTTCTAGGCCTCGTGCCTACTGGGCCACACTTGCTTACTTCTTGACTCTGCTTGTACTGTGATCTCTATATATATACCTGCTTGTTTACTCTTGCTAGGTTGTGATCACTGTATCTCTTGTTATACTATCAACCTGCATGTGAACTGGTCTTGTGACCACTTGCTTGTGCTCAGAATTTGTGTGGTTTCCTTGAGATCCACCCTGAGCTTGCTTTGCTTTGCTTTGACTGGTCTTGTGACCATCTGGTTGTCTCCCACTTAGCCTATGGGGGTGTGTCAAACATTATATGTTTATATTGTGTAGGCTATAGTGGGTTTAGCCTTAGGGGGTACAGCTTTGTTAGGGTTTCCTACTTGTATCCCCCTCCTACCTAGTTTCATCCATTCTCGTTCTATTCTAGATTCTAACAAGCCTCTTCATCTCAACGGTCGTGCGACTGCACGGAATCCCCTCTGCGATCATCAGCGACCTGGATCCGAAGTTCACGTCGAAATTTTGGAGGGAAATGTGGGCGCAGTACGGCACGAAGCTACATTTCTCCTCGGCATACCACCCGCAAACAGACGGGCAGACCGAGCGGACCAATTAGACCATGGAGCAGCTGATCAGGACGAACTACCCCGACCCTGCCCGCTGGGAAGACTCGCTCGCAATGCTGGAGTTTGCATTCAACAACGCTCCGTCCGGCACGACTAATCACTCCCCATTTTTCCTTAATTACGGGACGGACCCGACGGTGCCTAAAACGTCTACACTTGACAACCCGGCCCCGAGGTCACAAACGTTTATGACAGAACTCCAGGAAGTTCGCGAAAAGGCTGCGGACGCAATTCGCAAGGCGAATATCACTTCCCGAAAATACACCGACCTTCTACGACGGGAATTCGTCTTGGCAGCTGGGCAGCTTGTGCTACTCGACACGAAGAACCTGCACCTGCCCGGCCCATCGAAATTACGGCCACGATTCTGTGGGCCCTTCAAGATCATCAAGATGGTGACACCTGTCACCGTGAAGCTGTTGCTACCTGACGACTGGCATATACACGACGCCTTCCATGTCAACCTCCTTCGCAAGTTCATGCCAGCCACAACCGACATTGCGCGACAACAGGCCGCACCAACAGCACGTCATGTGCCAGATTCGACACTCGACCCATCCAAGATATTGGCGCATCGTGTACGGCTGGACGCAGCTGGTCGCCACGTGGATTTTCTAATCCGTTGGACTGACCGCACAAGTGAATACGACACGTGTGTGTCATCCGCTTCGCTTGAGGCATCTCCGCTTATTGGTGATTACCTCGCCCGAAAGCGCACTGCGGATATCGACCACCTTTCTTAAAGGGGGGGTTAGTGTAAGGAATTTTCTCGAATTCCTTATCGGGGTTGACTGCTTCGCGTACAGCCCCGATTTTCAGACTCATCACGTTTGGCCGACATCAACGATGCCGAGGCTCCTCGCGTCGCCTTCGGCATTTCCCTTCGCCAAACCTGCAACCAACCTCGCTCGCCCGAGGTTCCCTCCTAGCTAGGCTAGCCACTACATTAGCGTGTGCCTTCATTGTATTCTTGAGGCTGTTGAATCACAACCACGTTATTCGTTAATCTGCGCACTCTCCTTTACAACTCATAAAAGACAGCCCTTGTGGGTGTACAACCCACCCCAGAAGTGCGGCCATACCCGATACGACCTGATGGGATGAGCAGGTCGTATTTAGCACAACAGCAGTCGGATTCTCGTCTCCGCCCTAGCGCGAGGGACCGTTGTCCGTGCTTTACCACAGATATCACTCGTTAGCGTAACAAATTTGTCCCACCGTCGACCTCTCGGTCGTGACGGGAAACAAGGGTGCAAGATTGGTCGAGAAGAAGAAGCGCCTGACCCAAGCCGTTCGCGCACCAGACAGCGGCGTGCCTTGCTGGTGAAAAGGCCGCAACTATTTGCCGTGTACGAAACTGGTCGTGAAGCGCGTCCGCCGAATGCGGGGCGACGCGATGATTCACTGGTCAGGCACTCATCGTCGTGCGGCGGCGCGTCTGCTCGTGTGCCTCCTATCAATCCACGCCGCTCGCCATGTGCGGCCCGTCGCCGCGGCGGTGGACTATGGCGACGCGATGGCGAAGGCGATTCTGTTCTTCGAGGCGCAGCGATCCGGGCAGCTCACGGGCGCCGCGATTCCCACCACCATCACGTGGCGCGGCAATTCCGGTCTTTCCGACGGCACCGCGCAAGGGGTAAGTATCGACCCGCGGCTGGCGTAGCTACTATAGCGAGTGATCCACGTGGCGGACACCTAAATTACTCTCCCGTATGACTCCTACGCACCGGTCTCACCATCTTCGCTCCACCACGCTGGACCCTCGCCGCACGGCCCAGTGGTGCCCTCCTCGTGCCTGCCCGCCTGCCTGCCCGCCCGCCTGCCTGCCTGCCTGCCTGCCCGCCCGCCCGCCCGCCCACCCACCCGCCTGCCTGCCTACGAGGAGGATAAAAGCTCACAAAGACCTTTCACCATTCCCTCTCACCTCCCCCGTTGCCTCAACCACTCCCATCTCAACCTGGCACGACTATAGCAGGAACAGCCCAACAACCCCCCTCCCTCTCCCCCTGCCCATCTCAGCAGGTGGGTCTGCGCAGCGAGAATGCCCGCAGGAAATACGAACCCTTTCTCATTTCCTTCCCCACCTCGTCCTGCCCTCACCCTTCCCCCTTCCCTTCGCCGTGTGCGCAGTAGGTCTGCGCGGGGGAAACGGCCACTGAAAGCTTCAACCCCTTCCCATCCCGTTCTCCCCCTCGCCTTCTCCCCCAACCCCCCCACCCCCCCCGCCGCCCCGCCCCCCCCGCCCCCCGTGCGCGCAGGTGGATCTGCGCGGGGGGTACTACGAGGGCGGCAGCAACGTGAAGGCGGGGCTGCCGGGGGCGTTCGCCGCCACCATGCTCGCGTGGAGCCTCGTTGACTTTGGACGCCACATCCTCGCTGCGGGCGGCGCTGCGCAGCTGTCCGCGGCGCGCGACGCGCTGCGGTGGGCGACGGACTACCTCATCAAGGCGCACACCAAACCCGAGGAGCTCTGGGCGCAGGTGGGCAGCTCTGGGCGCAGGTGGGCAGCTCTGGGCGCAGGTGGGCAGCTCTGGGCGCAGGTGGGCAGCACTGGGCGCAGGTGGGCAACTCTGGGCGCAGGTGGGCAGCTCTGGGTGCAGGTGGGCAGCTCTGGGTGCAGGGGGGGGGGGGGGGGGGGAAGGCAGGGGTGTGGGCCCAAGTGGGGGGAGGGAAGGGCGGGGTGTGGGCGCAGGTCAGGCACCTGTTCTTACCTGCACCTCTGATTTTTCTTTTATGTTTTACGAGTTGACTTAATTTGACCGCGCATGCTGACTGGTGTTTTTTGGTTGTATTGCATTGCGTGCGCATGGCACATGGCGCATGGACTTGTTGTGGCAGGTGGGAGACTGGGTGACGGACGGGGCGTGCTGGCAGCGGCCGGAGGACATGAGCACATCGCGCACGGCATACCGCGTCAATGCCACCCGCCCCGGATCCGACCTCGCCGCTGAATCCGCCGCCGCCCTCGCCGCCGCCTCCCTTGCCTTCCGAGATGTCAACGCCTCCTACGCCGCCTCCTGCCTCGCCCACGCGCAGCAGGTCTCTCAGGGGGGCTGGGTGTTCCATGGCCGCTATGGCTTGTGATGCGGTAGAGGCGGCGATTCAAAGACGTGTTGAATGTAGATCGCCAGCTGACGTCCGGACATGTCTCGGCTTGGGATTGGTTTACCAGACTGCGCAACGTACAGGAGATTGGTTTTGCCCTTATGTTTGTCAGAGTGGTGTGGGGCAGGCAGGACTGCCAAGGAGTAGCCTCATTTGGATATGGTGTCCGTGATGCTGCGTCCTTCCTTGTGCACTCATAGTCTTCCTCCACCCGCCAGCTGCCTGCAGCATTCTAGTTCCTCCTCTCTCTTCCTCTGCCATCCCACCGCATGCATCCCTACTCTCCTCCAGCCTCTCGTCCCCCTCAACTCTACTCTCCCCCCATTCTCCAAACCAGCTGTTAGTGTTTGCTGACAAGTACCGCGGCGTATACAGCACGGTCGTCCCTGGGGCGGCGCTCAAGTTCCCCTCCACGGGCTACACGGTGAGCAATGCACAGCATGCAGTGCGCAAAATGCAGCGCACAAAATGCAACCCGCAGCATGCAGCACGCAGCATGCAGCACGCGGCGTGCAGTGCACAACCTTCATCATAGTCTACACTACAGGTTAGCATCATATGAATTAGACACTCTCAAACAGCCACAACAATATTGACAATGTTGTCCAGGCAGCTAGCCGTTCTTCTTGATACCATGGTTGAAGCTGCTGCTGCTTGCACGCCCCTGTCGATCCTTACCTTCAGAATTACCCTTCGAATGAGTAATATTCCCTTTCAACAACTGCATGCAATGCACCGTTTCTGTGTGACTGTAGTTGTTGAAAGAGAACATTAGTAATTCGAAGTGTAATTATGAAGGTTAGGATGGACAGGGGCGTGCAAGCAGCAGCAGCTTCAACCATGGTATTAAGAAAAAACGGTCAGCTGTCTCAGCCATTTGAAGTGGATGCTGGACAACATAGTCCATATTGTTGTGGATGTTTGAGGGTGTCTAGTTCATATGGTACTAGCCTGTAGTGTAGACCATGATGCATGCTGTGCACCAGCATGCCTGCAGGTTGGACACATGGGCATGTTGCCAGCACCGTTCAGCACAGCTGCAGCAGGGGCTGCATCACCTCCTAGCGCCAGAGCCCTTTTTGACCAATCGAGGTCCCTGGAAGATTCAGGAACTAGCAGAAGAGCTTGGGAGAAGGAGAAAATGAAAGTGATAAAGAGTACGGGAGTGCTTGTGTGTAGCAGAGGTAGAGGGAGGAATTAATAGAGGCGAGGACTGATCAGTATAAAGAATTGATTCATGAAGTAAGGAAGTGAGAGCAAGGGGGTCACAGAGTAAGGTATTGGCTCATAGCTTCTGTTGGTCAGTAGTTCTTTGTTAGCATTCTGCTATTGGTGAACCTACCAACAGCAGTTGCCTTCCAGCCTCACAGTTTCCTTGCTTCCCAACGGTGACGTTCCCCAAATAATTTCTTTCCTCGCACCACCCTACCTGCCCCCTCCCATGCCTTGCATGCAGGACGAGTTGGCGTGGGCGGCAGCATGGCTGTACAGGGCGACGGGGCTGAGGCGGTATTTGGAGTATGTGCAGCGCAATGAGGCGGCCATTGGGGGGACGCAGCAGATGCACACGGAGATGAGTTGGGACCAGACGCTGCCCGGCGCGCAACTGCTGCTCGCACAGGTCAGTGCTGCTCGCGCAGGTCAGTGCTGCTCGCATAGGTCAGTGCTGCTCGCGCAGGTCAGTGCTGTTCGCATAGGTCAGTGCTGCTCGCGCAGGTCAGTGCTGCTCGCATAGGTCAGTGCTGCTCGCATAGGTCAGTGCTGCTCTCCGCCGGGAGTGGCGAGCAGGAAACCCGTCTTGCGTCAAGGAACCCGTACTTCATGCCTCCAGACTTCCACGCACCTGCACCCAGCGTCAACCCCCTTGCTGAACGCCATTCTCCCGCTCCTCTCTCACCCCGGGCACCAGGCGCTGTGGGCGGGGCTGCCGGCGAGCATCCAGGGGAGTGCTGCGATAATGAGGGTGGTGGAGGGGTATGCAGGCATGGCCGAGGTGTATGCGTGTGCGCACATGCCTGCCAACCCCCTGCGAGCCGTCTACACCACGCCGGCCGGGCTGCTGTATGTGCGCGCCAGCAACGCCCAGCTCGCCCTCTCCTCCGCGTTCCTCCTCGCTCTGCTCGCCGACTCCCTCGCTGCCACCTCTCGCTCCCTCGACTGCCAAGGCGTCTCCTTCTCGCCCTCCCAGATCACCGCCTTCGCCCAGTCGCAGGTCCGCCCACCCGCATGCCTGCATGTCTGTGTGCGCATGCACAGGGGTGGGTGCACAATGCCATGCACGCGTCCTGCAGAGCCCCTGCATCCGCATCCACACACATTGGCCTTCGCAGTGCATTGGCCTGTTGATCGGGTACCTGCTGACCCCAGTGGCTGTGTGGCAACACACACAGGACCCACCGTTCCCTGTGCCTCCCCTGCCACCCTTTCCCTCTTCCCCCTCCCATCTGCCAGGTGGACTATCTGCTGGGCAGCAATCCGCTCGCCCTCTCCTTCATGGTCGGCTTTGGCACCGCCTTTCCTCAGAAGGTGCACCACCGGGCGGCGTCCATTGTCTCATTCAACACGGACCCGTCGCCAGTAACGTGCCAGGGCGGCAACACCACGTACCTGCAGAGTGCCTCCGCCAACCCCAACGTGCTCGTTGGTGCCATCGTTGGCGGCCCCAACGCCGTGAGTCGGGCTCGGGGGGGGTGGGCAACCCAGTGAGGGGATGTGGAGTGGGGGGCAACGTGGTGAGGGAAGGGCTCAAAGGGGCTCAGAAGGATTACATAGTCCTCAAGAAAGAGATGAGCAAGAGAGGTGTGAAAGCGAAGGGCATCTTGTTGAGGGCCCATCACGAGTGGTCAGCTTGCCTCATCACCATTGGGACGCCAAATGTGGTGTGGGTCATCAATGGTATTGGGTTGACCGACCGCACCTCCTATTGGTGGCAATTTTGGTTGGCCACAATTGGTTGTGCTTGGGGGCTCCACCACAACTGGCTTGAATTGGCACCCCTAACACAAGTGTACACCCAACAAATGCTAGTAGGTCAAATCAACCGTACACTACACAGTTGTACAGGCAAGCTAGTCAGCAGACTAGATATTTAACACAAAACATGCGCATACGCTCATTCACACAAATCCATCACGGAGGTACCACTTCCCTTTCCCATCCACACCTTCCCCTCTCCCCTTTTCCTCTTCCCTTGCCCGTGCCCGCCCGTCAGACCGATGGCTTTCTGGACTCACGGCTGCACCCAGCCTTCACGGAGCCCTCAGCCGCCGCCAATGCCGTCGCTGTCGGCCTCCTCGCCCGCCTCGCTGCCGGCGCCCTCCCCCCTGCCTCCCCGCCTCCCCCCTCCCCCCCCGCTCCCCGCTCCCCTCCGCCCCCGCCCCCTGCACCTCACCCTCCCCCACTGCGACTGCCCCCTTCTGCCCCCCGACCTCCCCCCGGTAGGCCTACCTTGTGCCCATCACTGTGCTGCTGTCCCTCTCTTGCCCCGCCGGCACCTCTCCGTGCATATTCAAGATACCCTTGCTGGTCGCCTCTGGTCGTCTGGAACCGCACCAATGAATAATCGACAATCCAGTGCTGTGTGACGCGTGTGCCAAACGCCCTTCCACCTCTCCATGTCCTTGCCTCCCAATGCATACGTCCGTGCTTACTCCCTTGTATTAGCACTCAAGTTTTCCGGTGTTCCTTCCCTTGCCCACTGCATGCGACCGTGCATACTTAGTTAAAACTGCGCTGAAACTTTGCCATGTTTCTGCCCTTGCCTTGATGCAGTCCCTGCAGGCATTGTCACGGTCACGTGTGCAGAGACGGGCAGCTGGCAGCAGTACGGTGAGCTGCAGAAGATGTGGAGCTGTGATGTCAAGAACACCAACACCAAGTACCCTGTCAAGGACATTCAGCTGCGCTGCTCTGGCTTTGAGCCCTTCAACGCGTGGAACATTGAGGTGGTGTCCTGCACGCTCCCATCCTGGGGAACGTATTTATCACCTGGAGCAAAAATGAATTTCGGATTCATTCAAGCAGCAACTCTGCAACCAAAGTTTACTGTTACGTGGGTTACATGGCTCGGGCCGCCCCTACCCGTCCGGCCTGCTTGCACCCCACCTACTACATGGTGGGGGAAGTTGATGTGCCAGTGGTTTAAAACTGGATGCTGTGTATCACGCACCACAACTTCAGTATCCAAGTCGTTCGAGCATGATGAACATTGAGGGAGGTACTACAAAAGTAGGCTGTACATGTACCGAAATTTTATTGATAGAAGACCCTAGGGTCTTGAAAATACCATTCCACTCCACCCAGGACCTTAGATGTCAGGCTTTTTACCCTGATTTTGTTGCAATATGAAATTCAATGAGAAAGCATTCCTGTCCTGTACACTGTTATAGCCGACTCTACCGAGTACGAGTCGAGGAGTTAGAAGAGTCGAAGCGACATCAGTAGCCGTCAGATCGAGATCGATGCAGCCGAAACATTTCAAACGAAAAGAGCAGGAACAGGTCTGAAACGGGCTCCCGCGACCGCACGGTTTGAACTTTGCTGCAATAAGGGAAGGTACCCTAGAGTACTCGAAACCCTCGGATACAACATTCCTCCAGTTGTAGACCCCCGGAATTATAATACGGGGGAGGGAGGGATACTCCATTTGATCCATTTTAGTTATATCTGTTGAATTATATTGCATATCTTATAACTGCCTACAGCTAGCTAGTGTACTAGTTTAGGTATTAGCATCAACTGCTGGTGGTGTACCCTCCCTTTTGCCCATTCCTATATCTTGTATTCATTCCATAGTGAAACTACTCTTTTGGCCAACTTCCCTCTCCATGATTCTCCTTGCTGAACCTCTCCAAAACCCTAGTTCCTAATCTCCTAAGTTTCCTAACTACTATGGTTCTCAACATGGTATTAAGAGCTGGGTCCTTCTAAGGACCTTGTTATTTTTCATTCGCCATGGCTGCCATCGTTGCCATGGCGACCGTTGCTGCGCCCTTCGAGGCGCTCGCCCGTTGCCTGCCCCGCGCTGAACGCCCCGTGCTACCCGCCCCACGCGCTGGTCGCCCCGTCCCGCGCGCTGTCGCGTCGCCCCGTCGCTGGTCGCGGACGCCAGCACCAGCGCCTCTGACCGTCGCTGACGCCAGCGCGAGCGCCAGCGACGTGCGCCAGCGCCAGCGACTGTCGCGAGCGCCAGCGCCAGCTCCAGCGCCGGTCCCCAGCGCCAGCGCCAGCGTCAGCGCCAGCGCCAGCGGCATGCGCCAGCGCCGGTCGCGAGCGCCAGCGCCAGCAGCGGCCGCCAGCGCCCCTGCCATCGCCACCCCGCTCCCCGCCTCCGCACCTGCCGTCGCTCTCTTCTACGGTGGACGTTGCGGGGGGGAGGTGGCGAGGCTCGCGCCCGCGGCTACGGGGGTGCTTAAGCCCCCTTGAACCCTCCTGCCCCTCCCTAATCCTCCTCCTCATCGCTGCCCGTGCATCTGCAGTTCGTGCCGCGTTTGGGGGGGGGGGGAAGAGGGTGTGGGGGTGGCGGGTATGTGCAGGCAGCCGCCTCCCCCTTCTCCTCCTCCTTCCGCTGCACTTCCTCTCCTCCTCCTCCTCTCCTCTCCTCCAGCCGCATCTCCTCCTCCTCTCCTCTCCTCCAGCCGCATCTCCTCCTCCTCTCCTCTCCTCCAGCCGCATCTCCTCCTCCTATCTCCTCTCCTCCAGCCGCATCTCCTCCTCCTCTCCTCTCCTCCAGCCGCATCTCCTCCTCCTCTCTTCTCCTCCAGCCGCATCTCCTCCTCCTATCTCCTCTCCTCCAGCCGCCTCTCCTTTGCTCTCCTCCTGTGCACCACCAGCAGCTTCCTCCTCCTCACCAACAGTTGTGTTTGCTCGTAGATGGCGAGCGACCAGCATCCTTCGCCCTCCGGCTATCCCAGCCCTCCTCCGCGCTCTCCGCGCCCTCCTCCGTCCTGGCGTTCACAGGTGCTGCCGGTCAGCCACCGCTGTTTCTGTGCCTATCCCAGCTACAGCAACCGCTCTCCAGGCGACCTGGTGCCAGGCACCACTAGCTATAGCCGTAGGCAGTTACGGGGGTGTGTTGAATTATATTGCATATCTTATAACTGCCTACAGCTAGCTAGTGTACTAGTTTAGGTATTAGCATCAACTGCTGGTGGTGTACCCTCCCTTTTGCCCATTCCTATATCTTGTATTCATTCCATAGTGAAACTACTCTTTTGGCCAACTTCCCTCTCCATGGTTCTCCTTGCTGAACCTCTCCAAAACCCTAGTTCCTAATCTCCTAAGTTTCCTAACTACTATGGTTCTCAACAATATCCCCCTTTTCTAGTGCAATCATACCCCCCCATACTTAGAATGTGGCATTTGTCATTTTTTTTGTATTGAAATCGAAACGATTTCGTAAGAGAACAAAACTTATCCCCTTCCGATGATTGCGCGAGGGTATCGCGCAGTCAACGTGGTCAAATGTTGTTCTTCTCGCGACTTGCTCTAGTGCCCTAGGTATCAGTCTTTTTACGTTGATTCCGCGTTAGAGCAAGCTTTTTTTCTAGGGTTAGGTTGAATCCAAAGTTTTTAGCTATGTACAGTACCTTCGCTGTTTGTTCAGCCTATTTGTAGGAGTGTAGGCTGTGCACTCAGCCTTGTATAGGGGTTGCACACTAAAACCAGCATTACAAAGGTTTCAGCCAGCCTGGCGAAGTGTAGGACTAACACTGTCAATCACGGACGGAAAATAGAATTTTCCCCCGTGCGGCACCGCACAGGCGCATTGGTACACCATAGCTACCGGTACCATACGTAACAAGCTGCAATTCCAACCAATCGGGGTTGCGCATGGCTCGCATCGCGCTGCGTCTCGCACGACACCGCAAACATCCACCCCACCTGCTCCTGTAGAAGCTCGAACCCAGAGACTCTGACTTTGACATGTGAAATGTATTTTTATGAATATGTGTGATCAGCTCACACTGAAAGTTCAGCCAAAAAACTTTAGGTACCGTCATCGCCCGGATATAAGACATATATGTCTTATCTCGTACACTGGCAAAAATGCTTGAGTTATCTTGTAAACGGGATGGTTTAGGGTGTCTTATAAGTCTTATAAATGGAAACCTTTTAAACTACTTGGAAATATTTTCGTACTTCTTTAAAAAGAGTTTCTCATAATGCGTGTGGATGTTGCGAAGGTGCCACTTCGACAACCTCTGCCCGAGACGCCACGTTATGGAGAACACCTGCAGGGGCAAATTTGGTAGGTCCTGGGTCAGCGCGTGGAAGAATTCGCGCTTCGCAAGGGTAAAAAAGTACGCGGTACTTCAACTTTCGCTATAATTTATTGAAGTTTCGATTATAAGACATATATGTCTTATCTCATACACACAAATATGTGTCTTATAATGAGGCTAGCCTGTTTATAAGAGACACCCGTATAGTAGACAACCCCTGTCTACTATTCAACACTGTCTTATATCCGGGTGATGACGGTATTCTGATTTTTCTGCCAAAGAATTTGGGGCCATGCCGACTCACAGAGTTCAAACAAGGGTGGACGCTGATCGATCAGCGTGCCTTGAAACGAATCTAGGGGCCTGACTGGCACACTGCCAATGTGGTGATTTCTAATCTGTCCAGTGGCGAGAGTGATGCCACCTGGCAAAAACCCGAGAGTGGTGACATTCGCGCCCTCACCCACATCCAGTGCCAAGACGCAAAGTACAACTGACACAAATATACACCATAATCATGAATTTATTCTATAAATATAAAAAATGCCATGTATTAAGACATGGGTCTTATTAAATAGGTGTGATTTGTGAAGATCCACCCCACCCCCTCCCCCCCCCCTCCCCCACCCCCCTAAATGTTTTGGTGCGATTAATGTTAAGACCCCCGGGTCTTGTATCCGGGGGTTTACGGTAGGTCGTTTCGTATTCCCTATATTCAATATATAATTGGATATATGCATGCTTTTATTATCTCAGTCATTTACATTCACTCTGATCTGAGGTCAACACTTCCGCTACAAAACCACCTGCGATCAACCCTGAGCCGATCACTGCCTAAGTCCTAGTTAGGATTGTAACATGGTATGCGAGAGACTTAGGGATTCTTCGCAACTCTACTTCCGTAAAATTCGCCGAACCAAGATCTGGCGAGCAGCACAAGCTCCAAGACCAAGATGGCCGGAGGATCCGGAGGCCAAACGAATCTAATGGCTGAAGGACAAACCAACGCGGTTGCGACAAAGGAGGCGACAACCACGATCAGCACCGCTGCACGCGAGCAGTTGTTTTCGCGATTGTCAACCATCGCGGGAACCTCCTCGCAACCAGCAAAACCTACTCGGCCGGCCGCAAATGACCACGACACTGCCCCGCACACATTCTCCCTTGACACAGACAAATCAACACCAACAGCTCCTTGTCCAAATGATGAAGTC